ATAGACTTAGGTTGACTAACTGAATAGATATGCTAAACCAGCTTAAGGCTGCAAGTAGGCTGGCTTGAAGATATCTTACATCAAAAATACCTAAAGTGGTAGCGATAGAGGTCCATATATAGCCCAAGGTCTCCTCAAATTTACAAAGCCAGACTTGTTGAAAGAAATAGGTTCAACTAGGATAATACAATCTCAATACAAATGGGAAAAGAACTAATAAAACAAATTTAAAAATCCTCTGGCAAAACAGGTGGTCGATGACATTCCAGAATTGTATTATGTGTCTTCCTCCATAGCCAGCGAACGATTCTCAAACGCCCACCACAACTGTAGGAGAGCCAGTGGGCGAGAGCCATAGGAAACTCTGCTAGCGAACAGAATTCACAATGGCTCTGGCCTTTTGGCCCTTCCACAAGTAGGGTGGGCGCTTGAAAAGACGGCGGTTGTTGACCGCCGTTTTCATGCACCCTATAACTCAACACTCGTCATTTCGCAATGCCCTGCTGTGAATAGTGTCTTGTGGTAGGAATTGACTTTGCTCTACGGTGTGCCCTTAAATCTTTGAGAATTCATGCTTTATTGTTCTATTCCATCCAGAGTGATTTCTATGATGATCGGCTTTAAGGGCTCACGTTTGTGAGCATCCGCACATTTTTGGATAGTTCGCCAATATTTGATAGTCGTAGGCTTCTTGCATCCTGTCGGGCCACCCCTGTGAAGACGCGACATAATCTGACATTTATCTTTAATAGTTTTGGCGCACCCTCCCTTGTTACGATTGAAGTAGGCCTAAAGTAGTAGAAGTTTGAGATTGAACTAGATCAAATCAAGAAACAATTTTTGACAGTATCAAGAAAACGAACATTGACGCATTTGGAGGAACAATCGTAATCATCAGCGCATCTCTTCCATGCAGTAGTCATATCCTCCCCGGAGGCACGGCCGGGTGTTCCGCAATCTTCGTAGTAAGGAAGCGTGATCTAAACTCAAGGTTTTGACG